AAGTGAGGTCAGAAGCCCGCGCAGATGGGAGGGGGCGGGAGGAGGGGCGCCTGCGCAGAGGAGGGTCAGCTCGCAGGGGGAAATGAAGCCGCCATCTTGGAACCGGGCAAAGAAGAGGCCGGGCGGAAGGCTGTGGGTGGCCATCTTAGAGCCGGGCAAAGCGTGTGACGACTGGCACTGCGAGGTGGGGACGCTCCTAAATAATTTTATAGCTCTGGCTCCGAAACGAGCCGCTTCCACTTCAAAATTGCCTCGAGAGTAGGAGCTACGAGGAATTGGAAGTGTGCTTTCACGTTGCGGTGTCAGCATACCTACAAGGAGCAGCACGGCTGGTGACAGCTGCACCAGCGCAGGCAGGGGGGTACAGCGGCAGGGTGTCTCCGCGGGGAACTCAGCGCGTTGAGTGCGCTCTCCTTTGTTTGTAAAAGGAAAGAAAGAAAATCTTTTGAACATCAACTGCAGGTTTTCCTTGTCCCAGTTCTGACCTGATTTTGTTTGACACCCGTTAACAGAGAGACAAAACGGAGCAGCCACGGGATGCCTCTACGCCCAGGCAGGACCGGTAGCCAGCTGCAGCCCCTTCCCCTTACGTACTTGCAACGCGGCATCTGGAGTACTGCGATCCCCCCAAATACAAAGATACTGACTGGAAGGAGCGAGTCCAGCAGAAGGCTGCAAAGATCAGAGTATGAGGGACAAGGTGAGGTCAAGAGCCAGGCTTTTTCAGCCTTAAAAAGGGAAGGCTCATGTGATGACCTTGCTGCTGTCCATAGCTGTCTCACCAGAAGATACAGAGAAGATGAAGGCAAACTCTTCTCAGAGTTGCATAGCAATAGGCAACAGGCACAGGTTAGAACACAGGGAATTCTAGTTATATATAAGGATTTTTTTAATCTTTTTTTTTTAAACCATAGTGGTGGTCAAATACTGAAACAGGTTGCCCCAAGAGGTTGTGGAACCTTTGTCTGGTGCTGGTCAAGACACTGCTGCATACAGCCCTGAGCAACCTGATCTAAATAGACATACTTTGAGGAAGGGGTTGGATTAGATGACCTCTGGAGGTCCTTTTTCACCTAAATTATTCTGTGTGCCTATGAAAAATTTAAGTATTCCATTTTTAGTGATAAATATTTAATAGAGGATCAATTACATTGCATTAGGTAAATGCAAGGACTTTATTACTTTGTGTTGATTCACTGCATTGTATCTGTTTGAGATGAATGTGCAGTTACACCAGGTTAACGCCCTGCTCTGAACAGCCTGCCTCACTCAAAGCATAGCTTGTGAGAGGATTAACCTGATGGGCTGTTATTCTTTAGTCCATCTCACCATATCAGTCAGAACTTGGGAATGAACAGCAAGGAATAATAATCTTAAAGCATTTCTGTGCATCTCTGCAGTACACCAGGCACCCAAAGCCTGCAAACTTCAAAACATTAACAAATAATTGACTGATTAGTCATATCTGACAATCCATTCCTATGTATCATTAATGGTATTTCAAGCAGATTGTCAAAGCTCATATTCACTTTCAGCTTTTTAGCTGAAGGCTTTCACAAGCATACATGCAGTGTATTGGGTGCTTTATACAAGATGCTGATATAATAATGAGTTGTCACTAGCATAGGTAACTTTCACTGGTGTTTTCAGCCTTAAGTGATTAAAAATTCTTTTCCCTCTGACAACAAGCAGTTTTCCTTCCTCTCTTTTCTCCTCCAGTTGCTGGCTCTTTCAAGTCTGCTAAGCAGTTTAAAAGCCTTCCATTTTAATTGTAAACATGAGTAGCTCATAGGCTTTTTTTTTTTTACAGCAAAAAGCATAATTGTTTGGAAGATAATGGTGCAAATTCCACTAATATAATCAAGCTGCTTATTTTAAGTGGGTCGCAACTTTCATCCAGGCCTGTATTTATGTTATTAATAAACCTGAAACAAAGTATAGAACTCAAAATACAACCTATAACCCAAAGATGCCATTACCACCATTGTGTTTTTGAAGCGCAGGAGATCCACAGGAAGCAAAACTATACAAAGACATCTGCTTTCTTGACTAGTGTAGTAAGGTAACAAAGCAAACTTTCAAAGCTAACAGGGAACCCCTATCTGCATTCTGGAAGTTAAATATGAACCTAAATGTGTATCATCAGTTGCATGTGAAGCTCATTCAACCTGTTCCGAGTGTTGCAAATGCTGCTCATCAGATCGTAATTGCAGAAGAAGGGTCATACTGGGTCAAGAAACCCATTTGGTTTAGTGAATGGGTGCATGGCAGGACCTTTACAGCCATCCTTTCCCAGACAATGGCTTCCAGCAATCCATGGTTTTATTACTTCCTGACCCAGGAATTGCCACTAAACCATTGCATGGAACAGCCATGTGGTCTGTGAAACCATCCATTCCCTTTTTAAAATCTATTTCTCATTTTATCCTCTGCAGCATCTTGCTACATGCATTCCACAACACAAGATGTGCATTAGCCTTTTTAAGTCACTTCCTGATGGTACTGCTTCACACAGCCTTTAGTTTGCATCTCTGAACTCAGAAACCTCTTTTTATGCCTTCTGACGTAGATGCGGAATAAACTCGTACTCAAGTGCTGTTTTGTCCTTCAGGTAAGAACAGCTTCTCAAACACCAGCTCCATCTTCCCTGCCACATGGGTCATTCCTTAAAGACTTACAAAATGTGTGCTAATACAGCAGATTGTCTAAGAAACCAAATGTTTATGGCAAGATGATGTTTTTCAGTCTGCAAAACCAGACATGGTTATTTCATAGATAATTCTCTTCAGTATATCTCACACAGTTGAAGAGAACATGGCACAAGTTATGGAAGTTAGTCAGATGTTTATTCAGCATGACTAGCAGTTTGGCAAGTTAGCGCTTTCCACCAACACGGGGAGCAGAAACCTTCACTGGTTTCACAATCTTCTGCTTTGGTGCTGCCTTTGTAGGGGCCTGTAGAGAAACAGTAAAGTATGAGCAAAGAGAAGCAATTTATCTGCAGTCCTGAAAGCATTCCTGTGTATTTAAGATTCTTAACAGAAATTAGGCAATTTAGATCAGTTCAGATTAGAATTACAATCTATCAGATTAGAATCGTGTTAACAGTTTGTTACATGTATGATGCCAACATATGGTATGGTATTAATTCACAAGTAATAATGAAATGGGCATTAACATTCATCAATATATTGTACCAAGTTCCTAGATAGTGAAGTGTCACATCCAGACAAGTTTTTAGCTACCAAACACCTCTGACATATAGTCAGAAAGTTGTTTTACTGTAACATTTATTTCTTCCGTAAAAGAGGTTCATTCTATTTCAGCTGATTGTGTATGTTTAACTTCAGTACAAAAGCTTGGTCAAGGTGCTTCCAGATCAATATAGATAAGCAAGTGCTTCTTCCAAACACAAATGGGAATTTCCAGTTAAGTGCTGCAACAGAACGTTGTGTTACAAGACGGTATATTCCATTTCATGATTTCTATCTACCTATTGCATCTCACCTTTGCAGCAGAAACAGCTGTTTTCTTGGTTGCCTGCTTAGCCTTCTTGGCTTCTTTTGCAGCCCTGTTAATTCACAGAAAAAGAGTAACAGTTATTAGTGTCTGCCATTCACTGTTTCCTTGTCTCGATACTGTAAGAACTTCCTAAGATCAAGAAAATAACGCATTATTTCAGGTTTATCCTTTGCATTCATTACCCACTAGGCAGACTACTTACAGAGAGACAGCAGGACTGTATGTGACAAAAGCAGTATTTTCACAACGGGAGAAGGCAAGAAGAGACCCTTCTCTGACGCTATCTCTTGTTGAGATTACTCACCATTACCTCCAAATATACTAACTTAAAAAAACCAAACCACAAAACCGCCAAACCAAAAAAGCTTATAAAACACAGAGCTCCTCTGGAGTTTATGCTCTTGTATGAAAAGCATTAATAAACTTTGAAAAGCCTGGGATAACTCCATTTATCTCCAATATCTCACCTAATAGCTTGTTCCCTCTGCGCCTTTCGTACTTCGGGCTTCTGATTTCGTTTAGCCATAATCTCAGCTAAAGATGCACCAGTGATAGCCCTCTGAAACTTAACAGCACGACGCGTGCGCTTCTTTTGTATCTCTTCCTAAAACACAGAAAATGAAGACAATTAGTATAAAAAGACATTAAATAAAAGGCTAAAGACAATTATAGAAACAAGCTGCTTTTAAGATTGAAGCTATTATAAAACTGTATACAGAAGTAGAATTTTACTCCTCACTTTGGAGATAACTGATTTCTTGATTTGCCAAAGCAGATGAATAGCTAAAAAAGAACTATGTCTTCTCCTTTGCAACGTATAGAAAGAATGGTTTTGGAAAATGTCAGAAGTTCAACCGTCTGTTGACTCCCAGGAAAAACAAAACCACCTCACGATGAGGGATAAAGTCTGATTTGATGGAATCTTCTGAAATGAAGACACTTCCCACCTGTTTCAAGTGGAATCACAGTGCTGGGCAGCAGTGTAAGCCATCCAGCATCAACTTCCCTTCTCCAAACTGGTAAAAACACTGACTTAACACATATTTAAGTCTTTCTAAATGGTCTTTTGCTGCACCAGTTTAAGTAAGAGCACTGAAAATACCTCACCCTACGTGCCTTATTAGTTTACCTTTTTCATGCAATGACAACTACATAGGAAAGACCTCCTACTAAGTTATAGCCCAAAGTTTACGAGAAGGGTATGTGAAAAGTTCCCCCACCCTTTAATTCCCAAATCATCTGTTTGGAAATCTGATCCACCAGATTTTCAGAACTCTATGCTATTGCCATTCAGGAAGTTTACAAGTTTACATATTAAACAGCATTACCCACCTTCCGTAAAACTGATTTTTTTTTAAAACATATGCCGTTCATACAAGTGTTAAAATCAACTGAACCTACCGTGGCTCTGCACGAGCCCTCAAAGAAGTGATATAATACAAATATAACACTTTTGATGAACTGGTTACCTTTCATAAAGCATAAAGCAAGCTTTCATAAAGCACATGTAAACTCATGTAAACGCATTTACACCATTACTGGCCAGTCTTCATCCTTGTTATATGGGTCATTCTTCTGCTAAACACCAGTACACTCAAGTTACCTCTATTCTACGAGACCACAACTTCTAGTGGAAAACTTTTACTTACTGACTGTCCTTTCTTGTGTTTACGTCTATACAGAACAGTCCAGTTGATTTGACGGGGGTTTCTCTTGGAAAGGAATGCAGACTCACATTTTGCATTCAAGAACTGAAATACCTGGGAAAGTAAAGTTTTTTGTGTAAGCTTTGTTTCTATGACAGACATTGTTACAGTTTGCATTAACATATTAAGTGGTTCTTTGATTCAGTGATTTTTTCAACAGTAATATTTTGTATTTCTTTACACAGCTTTAATGATCCAAAAATTTCAGACCATAATTTTAAAAATTTAAAGTTTGGAATTTTGTTGCATCAATTAAAACCATGTCTTACCAGGCATTCCATTATAAGGAATTTTCCAGGCCTACTTTAGTTCCCTCACAGTAAAGCCTAATGTTACAGGTTTTATTTTCTTAACACAGTGAAGCAGCTCAATTTTTCTGAGGAAATCTCAAATTACCACTTACACCCATTGCCACACTGTACTCTGGGCACAGCATGAACAGTTGTATCCAGCATCATACTTTTCAAATGTCTGTCCTCAAGTAACTATGCACTTCCTGTATGTGTATGCAAGTCAAAACTTTGCGTAAGGAAGACACAAGAGATCAATATTCCATCCCATTCCTTCTTGCATAGTTACACTAACCTTCTGACCCAGAGTAACAGGCAGAATTATCAGGCTGCTTTATTACAAGCCATATAATTAAATTTGAAGCATGCACAAATTCCCAGGAGTACCTGAGGATTCAGTCAGTCCATTTACTTGGCAATCATTTCCCAGGAGATTCTGTACAGCAAGACAACTGTACTAGGATATCCAAAACATAAACCCTCCTTTTGTAGATATGAATAGTGTAATTTTATTTATGACAGTCCTATCTGTATGAGATATGACAGCCTGAAAGGGCTCTCCTCCCTACTTTAGCCCAATGAGCCATACCCAAGTTATTTGCAAGTCCAGTTGTTTGCTTCAGCCTTAGATGCAGTATGTCCAATTAGCATTTTCCACACACCTTTGGTGCTTTAGACCAGATGCTTTAAGACACGCTTCCCGAACCACAACCTAAAACCCGACTCAAAATCCCAAGGTACAGCACAAGCACACTTCTCCCGCCGACCAGATCTGACGGTAGTCGTGACATCCAGACAGCGATGCTATTCTCAGACGGCTCGACACGAGCTGTTCAGGCAGACGCAACAGCAACGTCACCGGAGACCGCGGGCAACACCGAGTTCCCCACTACGCCTCCAGTGCGCGG